CACAATGTATACGAATTCTGTATGCAAACCAATAAAAAATTAAAATAATTATTTTTTTTTAAATGTAAAGGAGATCTGACAAGTACCAGACAGCAGCCACTCCCGAGAAGACTGCCATCAGGGCAGCTACAGCTGCACTCCCAGAAGAACCTGTGCCTCAACAGTGCTCTCTATCTACTGCTGTCAGCTGCAGACGAGATATGCTGGTGCTTTCGCCTGCAAATGTATGTATGTGCAAGTGTGTTCATTGTAGGGGTAAAACACAAGGGTGGGGTGGGATCTATGAGGAAGGAGCAGGAACACAAATTTATTCTGTCAATCCCCAAAGCGGAAATGACAGGGGCATCCTGGGAATTGGAGTTTCTGCGACTGCAGGAAAGGTAGGGTCTTGTCTGGAGGAACTAGTTTGTGTGGCCTCTGGTAGAAGGAGGAATAGGGGAGTGAACTTCATGACCTTGCCAGCATCTAAATTGTATGGGAACACCAGGGCAAATACTGTAGGGTGGGAAACAGTTGGGTCAACTATAGAGCCCTCCATTTTTGCCTTAGTCCAACCCCCTTCCACTGTTGTTGTTATGTGTCCTCGGGTTGTGTTATAACTGACACTTCAGTGGTTTTTCAGAGGCAGTAAATTGTACAGGAAGAGATTGACTATGGATTTGAATTTTGAGTTGGCAGTGCAACTCCTTTCCACTAAGCCACCTAAGCTCCTTCCGCCTTCCATTAGACTCATTTTAGCCCGCCTCCAATTGCGGAACACTAGAGTAGCCGACACATTAAGGAAATTGTTCTTCAAGGAGGACACTGGAAACCGGATCCTGCGCAGCCCAAAGAAATGAAAATTTGTGGAAATCAGACAGTGTCCCCAAGGTTCCAAGTCAAAGACATCAAGGTGAAACAGATAATAGGTATGCAGCAAAAAAAGGTCACGTTAATACCAGACAGACACAGCCTGACTCTTGAGGCAAATGTCCACAAGGTGGAGCTACAACGCAACTCTGCATGCTAGGCCAAGAGAAATGACCTTGAATGAAAAAATCCAACTATTCTGTAAACTTTCATTAAAATCACAATACAGGAATCCTGATGGACAGGAAACCATTACACCACCACTCAGGCCGTGCTCGCTCGCTCGTTGCTGCCACCTCTCCCGCCCTTGCCTCCAGTGCACATTAAAGATCCAAAATCATGACTGACTCCAAGTACTTAATAACCAATAAAAAGGGAGAAATCTTTGAATTAAAGGCTGAGCTCAACAATGAAAAGAAAGAAGGAGGGAGGCTGTGAAGAAAGTGATTGCTGCTATGACTGTGGGAAAGGATGTTAGCTCTCTCTTTCCAGAAGTAGTGAACTGCATGCAGATTGACAGCTTGGAACTAAAGAAACTAGTGTATCTCTACTTGATGAACTAAGCCAAGAGTCAACCGGACATACCCATCATGGTTGTCAACAGTTTTGTAAAGGACTGTGAAGATCCCAATCCATTGATTCGGGCCTTGGCAGTCAGAACCATGGATTGTATCCGAGTGGACAAAATTACAGGGTATCTCTGTGAACCTCTCCGCAAGTGCTTGAAGGATGAAGATTCCTATGTTTGGAAAATGGCAGCAGTCTGTGTGGCAAAACTCCATGACATCAATGCCCAAATGGTAGAAGATCAAGGATCCGTAGATTCTCTGCAAGATCTCATAGCAGATTCAAATTCAATGGTGGTGGCTAATGCTGTAGTAGCATTATCTGAAATCAGCGAATCTCACCCAAACAGCAATCTACTTGATCTGAACCCAAAAACATTAATAAGCTACTCAGAGCCTTGAATGAGTGCACTAAGTGGGGCCAGATTTTCATTTTCCACTGCCAATCTAATTACAACCCTAAAGATGACCTGGAGGCCCAGAGCATTTGTGAGCAGATATCCCATGCCAATTCAGCTGTGGTGCTCTCAGAGGTAAAAATCCTAATGAAATTTCTGGAATTATTACCCAAGGACTCTGACTACTACAATATGCTGCTGAAGAAGCTACCCCTCCATTTGCCACCTTGCTGTCTGGGGAACCAGAGGTGCAGTACGTTGCCTTGAGGAATATCAATTTAATTGTCCAGAAAAGGCCTGGAATATTGAAGCAGGAAATCAAAGTCTTCTTTGTGAAATACAATGATCCCATCTGTGTTAAACTAGAGAAGTTGGACATCATGATCCGATTGGCATCCCAAGCCAACATTGCTCAGGTTTTGGCAGAACTGAAAGAATATGCCACAGAGGTGGATGTTGATTTTGTTCGCAAAGCTGTGCAAGCCATTGGGCAATGTGCCATCAAAGTGGAGCAATCTGCTGAATGCTGTGTAAGTACATTACTTGATCTCATCCAGACAAAAGTAAATTATGCTGTCCAAGAGGTGATTGTTGTCATCAGGGACATCTTCCGAAAGTATCCCAATAAGTATAAAAGTATCATTGCTATGCTGTGTGAGAACTTAGACTCGCTAGATGAACCAGATGCCCGAGCAGCTATGATTTGGATTGTGGGAGAATATGCTGAAAGAATTGACAATGCAGATGAGTTACTAGAGAGTTTCCTGGAAGGTTTTCATAATGAAAGCACCCAATTTCAGCTCACTCTGCTTACTGCCATAGTGAAGCTGTTTCTTAAGAAGCCATCAGAAACATAGGAGCTGGTCCAGCAAGTCTTGAATTTGGCAACCCAGTATTCTGCTAAACCTGACCTTCGAGACCGGGGCTATATTTATTGGTGGCTTCTCTCAATGGACCCTGTCACAGCCAAAGAAGAAGTCTTGTCTGAGAAGCCACTGATCTCTGAGGAAAGAGACCTTATTGAACCAACTCTGTCATATGAACTCATCTGCACATAGGTCCTTTGGCATCTGTGTACCATGAGCCTCTCAATGCTTTTGTAGAAGGAAGTCACAGAATCCATTGCAAACACTTGCCAATTCATTATGGAAGCACTGATGCAGGTGACAGTCCTGTTGGCACTACCACTTCAGCCAACCTGGACCAACCTCAAGTTATTTCCTTTCAAGGGGACCTTCTAGGGGACCTTTTGAACCTTGATCTTGGCCCCCCAGTCAATGTGCCACAGGTATCCTCCATGCAGATGGGAGCAGTGTATCTCTTTGGTGAAGGACTAGATAGCATGCCTTCTACTTCAGCTGCCTGATCCCTCTCAATATACTTTTTGTAGAAGATGGCAAAATGGAGCGCCAGGTCTTCCTTGCAACATGGAAGGATATTCCCAATGAAAATGAACTGCAGTTTCAGATAAAGGAATGTCATTTAAATGCTGACACTGTCTCCAGCAAATTGCAAAACGACAATGTTTATACTATTTCCAAGAGGAACTTAGAAGGACAGGACATGCTCTACCAATCCCTGAAGCTTACTAATGGCATTTGGATTTTGGCCAAATTACATATGCAGCCAGGAAGCCCTAATTATACCCTGTCACTGAAGTGTAGGGCGCCAGAAGTCTCTCAGTACATCTACCAGGTTTATGACAGCATTTTGAAGAGCTAATAGACTGGTCCAGTGTCCTCCAGCCACCCTGTGTTTGGTGCAAACCAAGAACTCTTTAACTGGATGAAATTGTGTAGATGTAGAATCTGAACTAAACACACTGGGGCCACCCACCAAGGTAGTGACTAGTTACCTGTACTAACATTAGGGCACAACTTGCTGGATATTTGTAGCTTCCTGTGAACATTTGTAACCACTGCTTCCGTCACTTCCCACCTCTTGCCACCTGCTGCTGCTATCTGCCCTCTCTTATGGGATTCTCCATGCTGTGCCAACCACTGGCATTTTCTACACCCGCTTTTGAGTGTAGCTTGATATTTTGTAATTGAGAGCTCATTTCAAAAGAAGAAAACAAAACATTAAAGTAAGGAAATGTGTCATTAAAACATAAAAAAATTCACAATACAAAAAAAGAAACACCCCTAACACCCTTCTCTCTGGCTTCTTTCTTGCATCTTTCCCTTTCTGTGGTGGCTTTCTGCCCACTGTCAACCAATGAATCTCCCCACAATGACGCCTCTCACCCACTGATCCCTAACTCAAACCACACCCAACCGTAGAAAAAATTTTCCTCTCAGCTCAAGCCCTGAAAAGATTAGACTGTGACCCAATGGAAATTACATTCATTGATTAATGACAAATTATAAAAACCAACCTAGTTTGAAGAAAAGGTGTGCTAGCAAAAAAAAAATTAAAATTAAAAAACCCAATTCTATCCGGCAAAAGCCATTTTTCATATCCTTCAGATATTGTTCCAAGCTGTCCCACCTCTGACACACCCCATGCCTTGTTCATAAGAACAGGTCTACAAAAGTCTGAGACATTATCTTGAAAGTCTCCTTTTCACATCCTTTGTTCTAATTTCATTTTGGGAGAAACTTCTCATGACTTACTCATCAATCATTTCAGGTCAAAACCATAAATGATTTACCCTACCATTTGGGCATAGGGGCATGGTTCAAAATTTCTGTAATCAAGTTCTCTCCACCCAAACGGCCTGCACCTGAAACAGTCCTCCTCAGCCGCTCTCACTTCCTAATTGTTGGGCAATGCCCATAGGCCTCAGGTTCCAGTTGGTGAGGGGCCAGGGCAGGGAATTTACTCCATTACAAAACTGTTGATCCCAGAAGCACTGCTGTTTCTTAGCCTGAGGAGAGTATAAGAGGGGGAATACTGAAAGCGAGGAAGGGGAAGGCTAAAGGAGGAGGGAAACTAGGTGTAAGTGTGGGGAAATAGAAAAGTGGAAGAGGTGAGGGAGTTCTTACCAGTCTTCTCTCTCTCCTTAGCACATCTCCCATATGAAGAACAGCTTTCTATGTGAGTTCAGCCATCTTAAAGCAAGCCTTTCTGACCCCAAGTTCCCCAAAACTGTCTTCCTCATAGTCAAACCAATTTTATAGTATAAAGGTCTAAGGATCTGAAAGGATTCCAAATCAGCCCTATCAGCAGGGTCCTGAAGAAAGTATCTAGACAATTAAGGCATAAGGCACTCACCTTTGGAGGAGGAAGGTCCACAAAAATAGCTGAGTAGAGGTGCAGCTGGTGATAATCCACATCACTAGGTAGGTTTGAGGGGGCTGTGAGAATAAGAAAAGGCCCCTGTGAGTGATCAGAACTCCAAGGCTAGTATATGGGGAAGAGTGAGGAAGAAAGGGATTAGGTTAAGGAGAACTCAGGATAAAGAGAGAAGGGGTGATGATCTCAGAGTCCTTACAATAAGTCAGATGGGAAATGGCATTTGCGGCAGAAGTTGGCAGTCATTGGTGGTGACTGAATCCACCCCTGTATAGCAGAGTAGAGAGAAGAGCCATGGCTTGTTTACTACAAATAGGTTCACTGAGACATTATCCTGGTGCAATTCCCTGTGGAGGTGGGAGAAAACAACAATATGGAACAGCAGAATCTTGGGGCACAAGGAATGAGAGACAGTCAGCTTTCAGCTTGTGCTTGTATCTCTAATGTCATTGTCAAGAAGGTATCAGATCTGCCTTTTCATAGCAACCCCTGATCAAAAGTTAATTTCTTTTAGTAACTATATTCTGTACTTATGCAAAACCTGTATTTGGACCAGGAAGCAGTCCTCAGAACAGAGGAAGGAAATACTGTGTGGTTCAAAATCAGGAAAGGAGTGCATCAGGGATGCATCCTGTGGCAGATAACAAACCACTAACTATATATATATATATCATATAGTGATGTACCTAGTAATATACCTTTTCAATCTATATGCAGAACAGATAATTCAGGAAGCAGGGCTCTATGAGGAAAAATGTGGCATCAGGATTGGAGGAAGACTCATCAACAACCTATATTATGCAGATTGACACAACCTTGCTTGCTGAAATTGAGGAGGGCCTGAAGCGCTTTCTGCAGAAGGACTGTAGTCTTCAATATGGATTGAAGCTCAACATAAACAATTCTCACCACTGAGCCAATTGACAGCAACATGATGGATGGAGAAGAGATGGAGGTTGTTAACAATTACAGCCTGCTCAGCTGCACAGTCAACACTCTTGACACCAGCAGTCAGGAAATCAAAAGACAAATTGCACTGGGAAAATCTGCTCTCAGAAACATGCCCAGAGTATTGAGAAGGGTGGAGGGACAGTGCAAGTGAGGAAGACCCCAGATGCAATGGATTGATAAAGTAACTGGGGCAATGGAGAGTAAGTGTGTCAGAATCAGTGAGACTGCGCAGGACAGAGCAGGCTTGAGAGCTACTGTACATAGGGTCGCTATGGGTTGCAGGCAACTTAACAACACATAACAACAACAACAACACCTCTATTTTGTCTCTTAGTGAATTCTACCTATGAATGTTTGCTTTGTTATTTGGAACCGTACTGATAAGTCTCTTCTCTTTGTCCTATAATAACCCTTCAGAGGTCTGAGGAACAGAAACCACATCTCCATGCATCTTTTCTTTTCCAGGCCCAACTTCTTTCAGTTATTACTGCTGAGGCTCAAGTTATCATATAAATTTCTTTAATCTTATTATATTCCAATGTAACAATGTTCCTTTTAAAATATGAGACCTCCATCTGAATAAGATATTTGAGGAACTGGGCCAACTTTTTTTTTAAACCTAATTTTAATTTATTTTATTAAAATAACATAATTGAGAAATCATAGTATAGTAATTTTATCAGGTGCAATAAAAACAAACTTTAAATCCAAATTATCATGAAAACCTTGCTTCCTTTGCATACACACATGATGTGACTAAAGACAAGGCTGGCCCTGGGGCCCCGCCCCATAGGTGCAGCTCCTGAAGACTGCTCTCGGCGCACTGGGAGACTGCTCCCTGAGAGGGCAAGCCACTTCATCTGGGGATCACAAGCGGTGCGAAAGGAGGATGTGTCCAAGAAGTTCCATAGTACCAAAGCAGAATCCTTCAGGTGGACAGGCTCTGAATAGTCCTGGTGTGTGTGACGCGTTCTATGTCAAACTACCATTTTGATGTCTCACCACTATCTCTTTGAAGAAAGTCTTTTCTGTGATACCTATTCCTCACAGGAACTTATTACAAAATCAACATGTTCTCACATTAGGACTGTTGTTGTTGTTATGTGCCGTTGAGTCGTTTGCGACTCATAGCGACCCTATGCACAACAGCCCTAAACCCTGCTCTATCCTGCGCCAACCGCACTGCCTCTGACACAC